AGACTCAACTACTACACTGGCCAGACGGACCGACCTGCTCTGATACCAATTGCAACACCCCACTACCTAAAATTAAAATAAAATATAATTATTTCAAGTAAACATCAGAGTTTCTCCTCAAAAGCGGGATATCACATCAAATAATTCAACATAACCCGTCATTAGATGGTGAAATAAAACAGCGGAAATAATCATTAGTTCAACATTCTCGGCCATCCGCCAAATTACATAAAGTCATTCATTAACAAGGTTCGCCAAAGTATGATACGTCACAGGAATAAAACAAATTCAACATAATAAAAGTAAACACCCAAGTTCCGTGCTATGTATCAGAGTATCTTAAGACTCGACCTGCACACCACTATCCAAGCTAGCTATGTACCTGGATTATCTGTACTTCTGAAGAAGCACAGACCACACAACAACGAAAGGGTGAGAAAACATGATCAAAATTATTGGTAATAAGATACATGATCAAAAGGTAGTAATTACATAAAATATCACCCAACATGCATCAACCACGACCTACTGTCCAAACATAAAACACAACATGCAATAATGCAAATATGCAACTCAACATCATGCATGCAGTACCAACTCATTGGTTCATTCAGTCGAACCCCGGATAGATCACATACACCCCTCCTTGGCAATGATCTAATCCCACCATTCTCCACAAGGGAGTACGGATGAATCACATACACTCCCCCTGAGCAACGATTCATCCCACCATTCTCCACAAGGGAGTACAGATGAATCAGATACACTCCTCCTGAGCAATGATCCATCCCACCATTCTCCACAAGGGAGTACGGATGAATCACATACACTTCTCCTGAGTAATGATTCATCCCACCAAAACACCATGATTTGCACGACACCAAATGCACAACAAATAAACTCAAGCACACTAACTGCACACGATCCTCCTGATCACATCACTATGCATTGTATATATTACACACCAATTAATTATGTTAATTAAATTAAATATTAGGGGAAATTCACATTTTAACACTAAGTATACACTCTTCACCATTAAACACCCTCTATATACCCATCATGACCAAAGGGATCAATTTGCCAAAAGGCTGCAATTTAAACTTCACAGTTCACAATCTAGGATTCACGCCATACAGCTACCCACAGTATATCATAATACAGCACACAAGCTACACGTTATATATCGAAAACATCAACATTGGATGGAAACAACAAAATTAAAACAAGTTGTTGTCATGCTCGCTGGCTCACTCGCCTAGCGAAGCCTCAGCAAACGCTTGTTGCCTCACTCGCCTAGCGAACTCTCTAGCGAAGGCAGGCAGTGGCTACTGGAATTGTTCACTACCCAGCTCGCTTAGCGAAGACTTAGAGAACCCTCGCCACCTCACTCGCTAGCTGCTCGCCTAGCGAGTTCTGCGATACACCAGAACCCCAACTGTCCAAAAATCATCAGAAGCTCACAAATCACCCGATTTTCACCAAACTAGTTCCTGTAGTCTTAGCCTAACATTTTTCGACTAAACTACATGAATTATTCCAGATTCTAACCGTTAAAACATCAATTCTATCGATTAAACCATTACTGACCTAGAATGGAAAGCCACACAAAAACACCCAAACAATCCAAATAATCCCTACATAATCACATGCATGGATAGAATCACAATGTTTCACACCCTTACCTTGATTAATTGATCAGACTGATGAAGAATCCTGAAGAATTTGACAGCCCTAGCCTTGTCTCTCTCTTTCTCCTTGTACTTCCTCCTTAATCTTTCTCTCTTCCTTTCTATTTCCTTTCTATTTCCTTTCTATTTCCATTTTCTCTTATATAACTTCTATTCTATTCTTTCCATTATATTTTTTTTACTTAATCTAATAATAATACCAATAATAATAATAATAATAACAATAGAATAACAATATTACTATTAATTATTAAATTATTATCATTATTAATTATATTATATTAATATTAAATTCTATAGTTTATTAAATGATCTCTCTAATTAAGGGTACTCACCAACGCACTCAGACACATCCCCACATAAAGACACGCCGAAATAAAATAACACCAAAAGACTAAATAATTAAAATGGGTGTTACACTTGAAGCTCGCTTCTACACAGGTCGACCCTACACTCTGCATGGGTCGACCGCTCGCTGTTTGCTGCATATTTTCTGATTTGTCTATTATTTTTGAAAGTTAGTTTCATCAGTTATAACAGTTTTGTCTGGTATAAATATTCAGTTGCTCTATTCATTTCATATCAATTGAATCAATTACAAAAACAAGAAAAGTGAAAGAGGTGTCAATTCAAGTTCTCATCATCTTCATGTTCTACATTTCATACCACAACAATCACACACAATAATCTTTGCTGTGCATTATGGATTTTCTAAGGCGATAATGTTTGAAGCCGTGATTGGGTAATCCGGTTCGGGTTGAGGAATTGATAGGTTTTTCTTGAATAAAACCTCTAGGATTTTGTCCTCCAAGATTCTCTAAATTTGGGGGGTTTTGGACGAGTCTTCTCAACACATATTCGACCGAGTGAAGGTGATCGAGGAGCGGTGGGTTCCATTGATCTAGTAGCGGTAATCGGAGAATTGTGAAGGAGAGGTTCGGGTTCGACACGCGAGTGTTTGAGATCAGTTAGGCTGGGGTTTGAAGACGGAAGGTTGTTCAAATATAGAGCTGTAATCGGAGGTTCATACACAAGCTGTCGAAGGACTTGATTCGACTCGAATCAAGGGGCAAGAGGAGATAGCATCTATAACAATAAGGGAGTTTGTTTGTTTGATTGCTATTTCATTCTTTTATATACGATGCTACAACAGGTTAAATTTATATTATAAGAGCTCAATTCTATTGTTAGAATTGAGGGCAGACGTACCCCGAAGCGAGGACGACGAGGGAACTGCCTCAACAAATCCTTGTGCCTTTTACCTTTCGTTTTTACATTGCTTAATGTTTGTATGGTTTTAGTACAAGCAATTATATCAAATTTAGGACTGTTTTGAGTAAGTGCTAAACTAATTTTGACTCTAGTACAATCGTTGATTGTACAAGGAAACTAGAGCAAATTACTCAAAGCGGAACTCACTTGTAGTGCTTTGCACTCCAAGTGTTTGATAAATTTTCTGAACGAAAAACCTTGTGTGCTATCCATTTATTGTGGTAATATTTTAAGGCATTGGAACTAGTCATACCACATTGTGAGCTAAATCAAATTGAGAGTGTGACTAGCGTAATGATTCTCATTACTCGTTATCCGATTCCATCGGCTAAAACGCATATCCGGTTTTCTAGTAACCGTTTGTTATAGACGGTATTTTTCCACGGCCGCTTCCGCAAATTAAACAAATTTTTTAAAACCATTTTATTGGTAGCGCCTACTTATTTTTTAACAAGGGATTTATTCAACTCCCATTCTAGATCCGTGTCATCATCTAATAATCAGGACACGAATAGTTACTTGATGACGTGTCTCCACATAAGGGGCACGTAGAGAACGTGTGGGAGGCCTGAGGAGCTTCCCGGGCTGGCTGGGCTCTGCCTGACCGTGGGGTAGAAGAAGGATGGTCGGACATCCATGAAGGTCCTGCTCGACGGCTGTTGGTCTGTGTCCGACGGGAGAAGATGTTCTGTCTGACAGACCTTTTACTGTTGGTTGACGAGGTCTTATTGGGCCTCCCAACTCGGTGGGACTTGGATCTGCTCGTCTATGGGTCAGGCGTCGGCCCAGTTCAGAACAATATTAATATTTTATTCATTTATAAATACTATAGTGATGAATGACTCTGAGAAAATTCAAATAGAGCTTATTCACATAAGGATGAAGAGATATTTCCTCAAACGAATAAGTGTTTTAATAAATTAGGATAGAAAGAAGTTTAAAATTAAATATGCTAATTTCTCATCAAAATCAAATAGTTTTGGTTTTTTTTACTCTATTTAAGAAAGATGGGTATTAGACCCCAAATATTGGTGGGTGATGAATGGTTCTCTCACTCATTTTCTTCAAAAGCTTGATTTGAAGCTTTTGTGCAACCTAACTCTTCATTTTGTTGTGAAAAAAATTGGAGCACCTATTTATTCATGCTTTTTTTTTAAATTGAGTATCGTTCACTTTCGATTGATAATAAAAGATAAATACGGTTCATCATATTTAAACTGAAGACGGATGATGATTTAAAAGGTTATGTGAAATACTTGTTATCGTTAATCAAGAAAAAATCCGATTAAAGTGGATGCGATGATTGCAAAATTAATTAAAAATATTCAAAAGATATTCCAATGTCCTGAAAGCACCAATTTATAATTAAATGTGCTGAATGCATATACATTGTCTATCAGTTACTGAAATTTATCCAATAGTATATAAGCATCTCATTTCTATATGAATTGCATTTTTTTTTATCATCTAGGCAATTGAGTTGGAATAAGATGAAGATAAGGAAAACAAACAAAGACAACAAAACTTGCAAGGTAAATAGAGAACTCAGTTTTACCAAATCCAAAGAAAAGAAGAAAAAAACTTTCACCTATAGTTAGCCAATGATCCTTCTCTTATTTCATCAAATTGGAAAAATATAGCCCTTTATTTACCTTTAAAGCTTAACTGACATGCTACTTTATACATCTTATCAATTTTATACATTCTACCAATTTTATGTCTAAGACCAAAAATTACCACATCTATTTCCACCATTAGAAGGACAAAAAATATGTTGCAAATTGGATTTGTGTTTATTTAACTTTCAACACATATACAATATTCACTAGGGTTTTAAATAAAAATTTGCGACCGCAATTCGGAATCAACATCACATAGTTTTTGATTTGACAACAAGACCACAATTGACATCGGCCACATAAGTTGTATTTAAATGTGTTTCTCTACAATATAAAAAATTGTGAGGCAATAAAGATGGTTATGCAACCGCTATTTTAAAACCTAGGTACTAATTAACATGACTCTCATTGTTGTTATCTATCTCCTCTTAGCTATTTGAAATGTCCTTTTCAAGAAATGATTAGCAACTCTATCATTTCTATAACACAAAACCCTCAAAATTGTGTTGGGATCAGTCCTATTCCATTTTCCTGTAGTTGGAGGCATTGGCAACTTCATTCCACTTCCAATCTCACTTGAAAAATTACTCAAATTTTCCATCAATTCTTCAGTATTCATTCCCATTAATCCTATCACACCTTCCACTACCTCACCTTCTTTATCCACAACACTTTTTGCTATCAACTCTTCACCATAATTATAGAATTCTTGTTTCAAGCATTGAAAGTCCTCTTGAATACTCACATGATCCGACTCGTTAAACATCCTCGTCGTTCCACCAGCAAGCAAAACCAAAAGAAACGCGTGGAAGCACGCCTTCATGATTTCCTTTATTAACGACGGTTGAGCTCTTTCTGTAAGAATTGCTGTCATTAGTTTGATATTATGTTTGAGGATTGTCACGGCATTGTTGATTCGAGCATTGGCGACGTCTCCTACATAGAGACTATCGTAGAAGAAAGAGTTTGAGTCGAAGAATATGAGACGGTAGGAAGCCACTTCCGATAGATGCTGGCAAGCTGCTGAGATGGAGTTGTTAACTGTTTCAAAGTATGAAGTCGATTTTCCTTGAGTGTTGTTGATGTTTGTTGAGCAGCGGAGGCGATCAGAAGGTACTACTCCTTGGGTAAGTGTGAGCGATTTGTCGAGCGATGAGATGTGAGAAAGGAGATAGTGCAAGGTGTTGAGACGAATGTAGAGACGTTGTATTCCTCGGCTAGTGCATGAATAAGGGTGACTTGATTCATATATTCCATATATGTGTGGATCTTCACAACTAACATTGCAAGGACTAGCTATCTTCCATAGTTTGTGGAACTTTGAATTTCTGTTGCACCTTGTCAATGGTGGAAGAGAAGGAATGTAGTTCTCTTTCAAACCTGGCAGAAATTTACACCAGAGCATAGTTAATCACAATTTGCTTCGTCGTAGTTTTTGTCAACTACAGTAATTCACAAAATATCTAGTAACTTATGTCACAAGTTACTAAATATTTTGTGAATTATGAGTACTTAAAATCGTGATTAGCCATTTTCTTAACTTCTGTTATAAATTCAAACAAGTTTATGGATTTTGTAATAAAAAGTATAGTTCTATGAATTAAGAGTAGTTACCGCATGCTGCTATAAACATTGCGTACTCTTTGAAGATTTTGTGTAATCCATCAGCAAGTTCTTGAACTAAATCCTCAGTTATTGCAATTGGAATTTGGAAAAAGTCTTGCACAATTTTCTTGGCCAAGTTCACCAATTCCACCACCGATTTTGCATACGGCTCCGACTTAGACTTCGGATTCCATGTCTGAAATGGATGAAAAACAAAAAACATCTGATAAATATTCTAAATGCATAATATATTGTGTTCTGCTCTCTGTAGCACTGACACATCTGGAAAAAAAAACATGACAGTGTCGCTGTGTCAGAGTTAGTGTTATGTTTAGGGTGTCTGTGCTTCGTTTTGTTTCCAAACAAAGAGCATCATCATCATAATCATAAAGGTAAAACTTACTTCGGTTTCTTTTGCTCTCTGCAAACACACATTCGCTTTTTCCAATGATTCATCAATCCATCTTTTCATTAGGTCTATTATGGTTAAATCTACTTCAAAAGGAACCATTTCTCTTACAATTGTTTTGCCACCGTCCTCACAGTCGGCGGAATCTTGAACAACCATTTGAACCAAGACATCTTCTAGCCTTCTAGTTGTCGCTTCCGCGAAAATAAGGTGCCGGCAAAACAGAAGAGTCGCCACCTTTCGTTATTTATCCCTCGGAGCGGGAAAGGAAACGATCGGAAAAACCTAACGAAAAAGGTATTAGACAAGGTCATCGCAACCATTGTCTGGGTTCGGGAGTCGGTTACGCAAGGGGAAGTTATTAGCACCCCTCACGTCCATCGTACTCGATGGGATCCATGCTTGTTGTGTTTATCGGACGGGTTGGTTGTATCTATCTACCTATCAAGGCTGGTCTTAAAAGAAAAGAAAATGACTCGGCAAAGCGTCGCACTTTATGCCTACGTATTCTTATCAGAGAATGAGAAATCAGAGTCAACGTAGTTCGGCTAACTACGGGTTACGGGGAAGGTGGCTCGCCAATACTTCAGTATTGTGCCTACGTACTCTCAACAGGTATGAGAGATCAGAGCTTACGTAGTTCGGGATAATACGGCTTACGGGTTTAGATTCATCTATTTTTCCGAGTAGGGTTAACAAACAGTTCCAGCAGTTTGGTGTACGCAGCTCGACCCTTGGAGACTTAAGCGTTACCGTTTGTGGTAGAACTGGGAGTTAACGACACTCTTTTCTTCAGAAAAGCTTCCTTTGAATTACGGGCCCACGGGGCAAAAAGGTTTGAAGTTTGTTTTCTGTCTTTTACGGAAGAACTGTTTTTTATGGACGTTTGCAACCAATATCGTACTAGAGACTATGACCTGAGAGTGAATGTGTCGTATGTCACCCAAAGGGTGCCATACTAAACATCCAGACTGTTGAAAAGAAACTCTCCAACAATCCTTTCTCAGATAGCTTAAGGCTTGTAACGTACTACGTCAGTTAACCTTTATTACTGTGTTTTAATTTGTTTTGAGATGAGAAGAGAGAACGAACAGGTTCAACTGAGGGGGAGACTATCAAGTCCTACAGTTGTCATGCCAAGGATTCATCCTATGGTGGAAGTTTGAAACAGGGAACTCCTAGAAGTTATCATGCATAGGTTTCAACCTAAAGTTCTATCATCACTTCCTTATCCAAGGAAGTGAGATTCCTAGGGGATCATGTCAATGATAAACAGAAACAGATAAAGCATCAGCTTAAACAGTAAACAGTAAACGACTGTAAAATGCATGCAATGCAAGTGAGGGAGGAAATGTGTGTGGGGCATCAGCCTCCACAAGCTCATCTCAACCTCAAGCCAGATATGAATAACTGCAATCATACAGAGAAATAAAATGCCATCAAGCAAAACATAAGCAACTGTAATCATACCGAGGAAATAAAATGCTATCAAGCAAACACAAACAACTGCAATCATACAGAGGAAATAAAATGCTATCAAGCACACACAAACCACATGGGCAAGGGAGAAGGGCTCTACCGAATACCCACAAGCAAAGCCATACAGTAAAAATACAAGCAGAGGGAGCAACTCAACCTCTAGTGCAATCATGCTCCTAGCTTAAATCTAAATATGAACTTATTCTAATGCATCAAGCAAATCAAACAAGTCACAACAATACAGAAAAGAGAACAGATCAACAGCTTCCACAATAAAGCCCTCCTCTGACAGCAGTCCAGTCATCAGACTTCAACCACCCTTCAAGGCTATCATCTTCAATAGCAAGTATCAACTTGCTTCTCCAAGTTTCTAACACATCAAACATAAATATCAAATTATTCCCTCTTCTACAAGCCTCAGCTTTTCAGTTAATTCCACCTTCAGGCTTCACTCCTAACTGCAAGTATCAACTTGACTCCTTCAGGCTCTCAATGTATCAATATAAGTATCAACTTATCCTTTATTCCTTAAGCCTCAACTCTTCACTCAATCTCAATTGGATCCTCTTCACAAGTGTCAACTTGGTCTTCAAGCCTCAGCTCTCTCTGCTTCACCAGTATCACCTTGCTCCTCTTCATCTACAAGCTTCAGCTTCTCAGAATAATCTTCAAACACAAAGAAGTATCAACTTCATCCTTCAATCTTCTTCAAGCAAGGAACTCCATCCTCTAACAAGGGAGAAAGATGCATCCATCAAGAGCATAGTTTGGATGATTGGTAGCAGAGTGAAGTCCAAAGGTCACCACTAAGCCTCCTATCATCAGAGAAAGGGACCCTCAAAGGTTCTACCAACTTGTAGAGAGCCACACATCCTACCAAAGGAGGGATGAGGCCTTTACAAGGGGACTTTGCATCATAGGGAAGAATGGAATTGATCAACATATTCCATGTTTGTGAAGAAAGAGGATCTATCTAGAAGCTCTGCCTACAAAACCCTAATCTTAACCTAATCAAAACTATACCAAAAGAAGGGAAGATATTCACATCCAAGCCTCTTCAAGCAATCCAATGCATCCTCAACTTGCCTTTATCATCATCCAAGAACAAGCAAAGAAACACCCTAATCTAGGGGAACTAAAGAAGTTAATCTAGTTGGATTAGTGCATTAGAATCATCTAAAACTAGCATCTAAACTAAAATCAAGAAAAAATAGAAAACTACCTTGAAAATTCCTACAAAAATTCCTGAGGGATCCTAATTCAATCATGAATCTACCATACAAAAATAAGAGGTTGAATCATCCACCTAGTTGCAAGAATAAAACCTAAACCACAAGGTATCAACCATAAACCCTAAAAATGGAGCTTCTAAAGGTTTCAATCTAAACTACCACCTATGTTCATCACAAAAATGTGAGAAAAATCTATGGGGAGCATGCATATCTATGCTAACTACTCACAAAAAATCAAGGCCAAAATCATCATCACATGATCAAACCAAATTCACCAATATCAAGCATCAAACATGACTATTTTAATATCAATTAAAATGTAAAAAATCCCATAAAATCATAAAATGCATGAAATAATAATATTGTTTATCTAAAAAATACTAGACCCTATCATGAATCCAATGCAAAAAGAATGGGGTTAACTGAATTATTTTTCCATTTTTTATGATTTTATCAAGAACCATGAATAAAATGAAAAAAATAAAGAAAATCCAAATAAAATGATAAACACACGGTGCAGATAGTAAAAGGAGTCGGTTCATTTTAACAATTGGGCCATAAGGAGGGGTACAGGTATCAACTAACAGCCTAAGCCCAAAATCAGCAAACAAATGAAACACATCGTTTCATTAAAGTTCAGACTCTTCACAAAATGAGAAGCACGCGTGGCCGTTGGATGAGGTTCCCAGTCAAAGTCCAACCTTGATCTGATGGCTATCAAGTCATCTTCTTCCTTTTGAATCCCTGCAACTCAGGTCACCTGCGCGCCCAAAACCACCGCCGGTGACTTTCTCCGGTCATCTTCTCACAACCCTAGTTTGCCATAGAGTCCACCATAGGCCACGATTCCTTGATCAAACTTGTCCCAAATTTCACAAGGAACTCAATCATACCATTAATTCAACCTAAATCCTCAAGATTCGCAAGAACCAACTCTCAACCGAAAATGGTAACATCCTTAATTGGTCACTATTGATCTGAAAACTTCCCTACACCATTCTACAATGCATCTAACATCCTAATTCCTATTAATTCTAACTAAAACAAGCTGGAAATTGAAGGTTACCAACCTGAAAATTTCGTGTGCACAGAAGTAGCAAGCCTTCAAATCAAGCCCTCTAATGCTCCAGACTCCTTCAGTGAATCACTTCCAAGCTTCTGTATGCAATAGAATTGATTGAAATGGCTTCAATTCTTGGAACCAACTCCGAGTTGCAGGTGGAAAAAACTAAGATCAAGAACACCAATCAGCCACGAATTTCCCTTGATTATGATCTGGAATCATTCCCTAGCATCCATGGAAGAGATTGCAATCAAGAAAATGGATGGGAAGTGAGTGAAATGATGTAACCGAATTCAGTTGCAAGCAAGAATTTTCCAAACTCAATCTCTGCTCTCTCCTTCAATCATCACCAACCTTGGCCTTGGATCACCTCATTATCATATATAGAACATGTGTGGATGATCTAGAAAGATCTAGATCCTTCTAATGAGAAATTCAATCTCTCATGTCATGAGAAGTTCAACCACATGCCATGGTATGCATAGTTCTGCTAACAGCTTGAAATCATCCTCATTCCCTTCCAATTTCTCCCCTAATGACATTTTGGATGTGTTTGGCTTGCAAGGGACCTTGATTATGCCTTGAATTTAGGTTTGGCAAATGTTACTTAAGATGTAAGTAACTACTTTTCAAAGCAAGTCCACAAATTACACCTCAATTCAAAAATGTGGCTAAACCAATGTTCTTAAAATGTTTTTTAGAGTTAAAATGACATATTACATGCCTTGGTTTGGACATGTAGATCAAAAATATCAATTTCCAACTTTGGTTCATTTGAAAATTACCCTCATTTTAGGCCATTTTGGTGACTTTGAGCTACAAGCACTTCCAACATCTCATGACCTCTTGGTTAACCTTAAAAAATCATTTTGAACAAGTTTGATGTTGAACATTTTCCCATTTGAAGCTTAGAAATAGGAGTTATGGCCTTATGCTTGAAATGACCTATAATCTCCAAATGACCAAAATGCCCTTGACTTGTCAAAGCCATAACTTGAGTTCTACAAATCCTATCAAGGACTTATAGTACTCTCTAGAAAGCTAATAGGATAAGGAACAACATTCATGTTGACCAAAAATTCATAGGAATCATTCTTCTAGGGCAAACGTTTCATGCAAGCTGGACAACTTTCAAGCCCCCAAATTCACATACCTCAGATGACCTGTAACTTGTCAAAGTCATAACTTGAGTTCAACAAATCCTATCAAGGACTACTAGTACTCAAATTAAAGCTAAGACCATGCTATACAACATTCATGTTGGGGGCAAGATGAGATGACAATCACATTTTGAGCTAAACTGCCTTGAAGATAGGGGTCAAACTAGGGGATTTTACACTGTCAAGCCTTAGAAACCCTAGCTCGAAACTTCTCAAACTCTTCAA